CCTCCCGGCAAAAAGAAAAATTTTATTGTTTACTTTCAGATCTTGCCCGAGTAAAAAATCCGTCGTTCGATTTTGTTATGCTTGGTGCATTTGGACGATCAAATAATGGTGATAAGTGGCATTGGATGGACGGTAATGAGACTCGATCCTGGTCCCGCAGCGATACTGTAATTTTCCTAGGTACCCCATTCAATTATCGAAATTGGGATCGTGGCATGCCTTTTGGTAAACGAGCACTTGCCGTTTTGGTGAGTTCTGCGCTGCAAAAGCTTGATTTCGATATATTGATCGAAATTGACTTTTTCTCTAGGTAATGAATCGACGGGGAAAATGGATCAATCACTATGCTGATCGCATACTTTCACAATATAATGCTGTGGCTGTTTGTAAATACAAGCCTTAATAGGTCACATTCTCATTATTTTTTTCTCGTTGATGATCTCGTTTTCTATGCATTTTTATCAATAAATATTGTAAAACCGAAAACCAACCATCAACTCTAAGCTCCGCCTTTGTTGACGCGGTACCATATGGATTCGTAGCAACACAGCGGAAGAAACCTTCGCTGAAGAAGTCGACATCTTTTATTATACACCGTTGAGTACCATCGGGTAGCGCTTCAAAGCTGATCTTATCACTTGGTGCCAGTTCGATTCCATCCTAAACCGATCAATAAAATCAATAAGTACACTTCGAATTATGGTTCCCCCTTACCTTAAGCCATTTGATTGCCGGGAATGGATTTCCATATGGGACACACTCGAAAGTGACCGTGTCGCCTGGTTTGGCTCGTCGAATGGTGAGGGGTACGGTAAATCCAGGAGCTTTGCCTTCTTTCATGGAAGCGTCCAAATCCGTTGGTGGTTTGCGTTCTTTTTCTAAACAAAAAACTTTTGGCACCAGTTAGGATCAATATCGATCAATACTATTAAGTACGCTATGTGATGTGGGAGGACTAGGATAACTAAGGTGCAGAAGTGGGTTGACTGGTTTGAATGAAAGAAAGAACTACATCACACATCGGACCTACTCAAACCCTACAAGACCTACCATCCTCCAGAGTTCCATCTAAATATACCAAACCAGTTGAGTTTGAAGTGACGGGATTTAGACTTGAAAAATACATTAGAAAGCTATTCGCTTTCCTCACAGTCTCATCGTAAAGCTCCAAAAAAGTTTATGGGGCTCGAGAAAGTTAATTTTGCTTCAAAAAAAATTTTAA